TTTCTCCGGATGTTATTCTCCCAGAAAGCTCACTGCCTTCTTCAGGAGTTACCTGAAACTTATTTGAACATTTTCCACTCAACTGTACATCTTCAGCATCTTCCCACAGCTGGTCAGACTCTAAGATTGTAGGTCTAGTACTAGGTCCTGGCATTTTCCTGATGTCCTACCTTTATGTGACTAATCTCCGTGCCTGACTGAATAGTAAATGTGCGACAACCACCATTTTTTATTGTGATAATTTTCCCAATATAGCAATGAGTTGATATTTATAAGAAATGATCAAAAATGGACTGACAGTGGAACCTCCCTTACATTTCCTGGACAATTCAGAGAATATATGACCCAGTTCTAAAATGTCTAGATAATCTTTAAGATGTATACCCTCAGAGTGAACCACCAATGTGTACATTGGTTTTGTGACAGTCCACATTAAATCTTAGAGTAGAATGATATTTTAATTGAAACTAATCACAAGAGTATAACATGAAAGCTCTAATTTGGCCTAACTCACTGGCTTAAATAAGCAAAATCTTTAAATACAGACTTTAAGTTATACTTATTTGATGAGTAGATGAAATATCAGATTCAAATAAAAAACAAAAAAAAATGTTCATGACCTATAGAAAATGAAGCAAATCTGTAATTTTTAGATGTATGCATAGTGACTGTTGCTAAGAAATCTGTTTTAACAATTGAATAGAAATCAAAAATTAAAATATTAACTTAATTTGTATAGGCTACTTGACAACGTACAATTTTATTACTTTTCTATAAATTAGTTTTCAGAAATGCTTTTTAAAAATTATGTTCTTTATTAGGTAAGCATTCTTCTTAATTTTTTTTTCCTAATAACTTTGTTACATTTAATGGAAAAGCTACCTTTGACCCAACTCAACTCTCAGACACATTTTGTAAAATATATCTGAAGGTATAGTTATTCTGAAAATATTACATCTCATTCTTTAAAGCTCTAAAGATGTATGAATAATGATTCAGGTCACAGTAGGAAATATTCATTTGTAAAAAAGTAATACTGTTATAGGCACTTCTCACCAACATCAGAGAAGTGTGACCAGACAGGACAGCCCCCTGAGCCAGTGGGAGAACACTGTCCCCAACCTTGATCCTCGTCTTCTCATACACATGAATTTATATGAGACCCTGACTGCGTTGTGAAAAGCCAATTTGTTAAAGCAATTAAAGCATGCACCTTTATTGAAAAAAAGCAACAGCAAAGCAAGTGAACCTGTACATCTGGCTTATGAAGCACAGACGGGCTCTCAGCTAATCTGGAGAGCAGGCTGGGTGGGGGTCCGAGGCATCACACACTCTCCTGTCCATGATCTCAAAATTCCTCTGCTGACTGTTTGGGTACAGATCAATTCTCAAGGTCCCTTCATTTACTTTGTTGTGGCTTCCCCAGGATTCATGAAATGCACCTGGCAACTTTATCTTGCCAAGCCTCGAGACTGCTGGCTTCTCTGCTTAGACGAGTGTAAAATGGTCCTTTTTTCCTTTTCCCTTTCCCCATCCCTTTCTGCATTCTCTCATCAGGTAGTTTTGTGTTTTTTTGTTTTGTTTTGTTTTTAGCTATTTGCTCGAGTGTCCTTGGCTGGGGAAGATAATGGTTTGTTAGTTACAAGCTGGCTGCAAATTGCCCACACTGTTTGGCCTTGTTTTAACTTTTGTGTCTCAGTTTCCCTATTCCTCCTGCCCTGGAATCCTGTAACAGTTTTAGCTGGCTCCAAAGGTCACATCTATATTTTCTCCTTCCTTTCACCCCTTTCCCTGTCTGCCTATTCCTGTTTCTAACTCCTCTCAATAATAAATGAGGAAAGTTTAAGCAATTGGAGGGAAATAAAAATACAACACCTATAATTTTAATAATATTTGATTCTGATATATTTATCTTTCTTTAGAGATATGTTTGAATATTACATCCTTCCAAATGCAAAGTTTAAGAAACCTGAAACACTAATTCAGAAGAATATATGCAGTTCTATGTTCACTGCAGCATTAATTATAGCCAAAATATGGAAGCCACCGAAGTGCCCATCGGTAGATGAGTTGATTAAAAATAGTGGTACAAATATATAATGGAATATTACTTGGTTATAAAAAAGAATGAAATCTTTCCATATGTGATGGCTGGATGGATGTAGAAGGTATCATGATAAGCAAAGTAAGTCAGACAGAGAAAGACAAATGCCACATGATTTCATTTATATGTGGGAACTAAAGGAGAGAATGAGCTAACAAACAAAATAGAAGCTGACTCATAGATACAGAGGATGAGTTAATGATTGCCAGAGGGAAGAGGTGTTTGGGGACCAGGTAAAAAAGTGAAGAAATTAAGAAGTAAAAACTGGTAGTTACAAAATAGTCATTGTGATGTAAAGTACAGTATACATAACATAATCAATAATATGGTAATAGCTATTGATGCAGGTGGTTACTTGAAACATTGGGGGGATCACTTTGTAAAGGATATGGTTGTCTAACTACTACGCTGTACACCTGAAACTAGTACAAAATAATACTGAGTAAAAATTCCACAAGATGAGAAAAAAAGGAAATTAAGGTCTGGGCAGGAGAGATCAGAGAAGGGCTATTTGGATTCATTACAACTAACTGAAACTTGCTTCTAAATTCTTTGAATCCTTGATTAATGTCATTGCATTCTGGCTCTTTGCTGTGTGCAGTGATGATAAAATAGTTATATTAGTAAGTACCCAGTAGTATAGAATAGCAGAGTCCTAAATAAACACCTCGCAAAATAAGCCTGTGAAAAGACAGTTAAGCAAAATAAAATGAAACAAACAGACCATCTCTAAATATATCAAGTAGTTTTACATTTTGATGCTTATTTTGCACAACATATTTTTGCTATCAATCTTAAGTCAGCAAACATGTTTTCAGACCAAGAAAAGATGATTCATAACCCTGTGTTTCCTCAACTGATGATTCAAGCTTATTGTTTACTCCAAGGACATGGAAGAAAGACAACTTTCATATTGACTCAAAGGCAGTTTTATCTTTGGACAACCCCTCGTGGGGATCCATCTGTGTCTACAGCTTTAGTGAGTCAGTACCCTTTAGAAGGAAGACTGGGGATACTACTTTATTTCACATAAAATAGCACTTGTCAGACACTAGCTCCTGTGACATTAAAAAAAATGGATTTATAGATGGAGAGTTTCTCTAAAATGTAGCTTTCCTTTATTTCTCACACGAGGGTCTTGACTCTAACCACGTTCCTTTATTTGAAAGTGAGTAACGCTCAGCTTATCTTTACCCAATGTAAATTTTTACTTATAAACTCTGATTTTTCTTTACAAGTATTAAATTAAATCATAATGTATTAATATTTTGATATAAACATGCTTTATCAGTCCTCAAAAATAGGACATACAGTAAATTTAAACAACCTGGCATGTTCTCCAAGATAACGTGTCCACTGTGTCCCAGGAGTCTCCTCATTTGTTGCACTGGAGAGAGTTTCAATCCGTATTTATTTACTTTCATATTACTTCCTGTACAACCTTCAATATTTCTTCTGCAGCTGTTTATGTTCTTGAAAGTACCTGTAAATGTGCTCACTGGACATTTCCCGCTTCATAATTATCAACAGGGGCTTCAGGAACAAGATTGATGAATGACTTTGTATATAACAACTACTAACATGGCAGATTCTTGAGAATGCCCCTTCAGACGCTGGTAATAAATATAGTTCCCTGGCGTTTAACTGGAAGTGAACCATGTTGGTATATGGGCATGTAGAACAACAACTTGAACCCAATGAGTAAATTAGCCAGCATTCGACCTGACATGTAGGGCACTCAGCAATTGCAATTTGCTTCCCTTTCCCCAAAACAAATGTTTTCTTTAGGGTTCTCTTCTGATCACAGACAGATATGCTTCAAGAAGGAACATATTTGAGCCACTCTGGAGGATGGATTCAGAGGAATACAAAGAGCAGATCTTACATACTCCCAAGACATTTCCTGAGATCTTCCTATATGCTATGAATATGTTGAGGCTATGGCTTTCTGGTTAATCCGTGTTTTTAATCAATAATTACCTCATGGCATAAAATCTTATGCTATATGTGTCTATATATTTTCCCTATAACAATAGAGTAGCGTTTTGCATTTTTATGTAATACTTTCAACAATAAAGATTTTTAAAATATGATAATAAGTGTTTTTTTATAACAGCCTACTTAATGCTTCTTTGGTATGGTCTCATATACTATGTGTAGGCAGGTGGTATGTGGGCATGTGGCAAGGACTTTAAAGGTAGATGAGAAGCAAAGCTGAAGTAGAACAAGTCTCAAAATATGTTGCAGGATCAATGTATGAGTGAGGAAAGGGGTAAACCCACCAGGTTTCAGTAGTGCCAGTGGAATTTATGGGTTTGAGGGGATGGGGAGAGAGACTTCTTACACTTTCTTACTCCATTGATTGCTTTGTTGACTCACTACCCTGCAGCCGTATGTCAATAGAAGCTCCTGGCAAAGTCTGGGTTTTGAGAAATTCCATAATTCAACTTATCCAAGGGCTGACTCCAACTGTGCTTCCATCAGCAGACACAATTGTGACAGCGAGAAAAGACACTGCAGAATGCAAATGTTTTTCAAACACGACTTTGGGTGAAAGACAGAGACTTTAGAAAAATGTATTCAATGCCTATTATATTCCAGGCACTGTAAAACATCTTAGCATTAATCACGAGAATCAACCTTTGAGGTTGTATTATTAAATCCCTTTTAGAGATGAAAGTTGAGATCGGTTAGCTTGAGTGGCATGTCCAACATCACACCACTACCAAATGCCATTGCAAAGATTTATTGTCAGAGGTTTTTGTCCAAATCCTATGGCTTTTCCACTAATATCTATGAGAAGCCACTATATTTTCCTGTAGGTTTGACAGAGTATTTTTTAAATGCTTTTATTTCTTTTTCTGCAGAAAAAAAAAGGTTTTTTTTATCATCTTACCTAACAGCACTGCTGCCCACATCGAGGTCTTGTGCAGTGACGGCGCCAATGATGGTGCCAACGGGGGTGTCTTCATACACCTCCATGGTGTAGAGCGGCTTGCTGAAGACCGGCGGCTCCTCCACGTCCAGCACGCTGATCTTCACGGTGGCCGTGTCTTTGAAGGGGCCCGCAGAGTGAAACCGGTGGTCAAGGTGAAGGTTGGAGGCTTCCACTTTAAAAGTATACGCCTTCTTTGTTTCAAAATCCAATGGCTGTAGCGAGGACAAACCAAACGTGAGGAGGTGCATTCACATGGAAGGCTCAGAGATGGTGAACAAGGCTTCAGATCATTTGCAAGTGAATACAAATTGTATTGGTTTCAATAATTCATTGTCCTTGACACTTAATGGGTAAGGGGATGTTTCAAGAAAAGAATCACCCACCCCCCCCTTGTAGAAGATGCTGGGTAACTTGTAAAGATAACCAGTTGCACACATTAATAATGACATATATGTGCACATCCATGCTAAGTAGGGTTTGTTCATTTTTATCTGAGCGGTTAAAACAGCAAAAGAGCAACTTTTAAGGGAAGTATTTTCTGCTCTTATACAATGCTGACATCTAGTGGAAGTTAGCTGTAATTATAACACAAAATTGAAACTGGGTAATTAAAGATACTCTTTAGATCCCACTTAAAAACTTGGTATAACAATGTATGTTTCTTTTTCTTGGACTATTTTTCATATTGTGGCAAAAATATAATTTTATATTAAACACTTTTAAATGGGTAGATCTTTTCACTAAAAAAAGGACTGTATCAAGATTTACAAAACTTGCACAGTGTTAATTATGAAAATAGTTTTAGTCTTTTGTTTTCTCAGCATTGAATATATAATTATTAGACACTAGAATTATTAGGCATTGTCAAAATGTTTTTTAACCAATAATTAAGGTTTTGAACATATATAATCAAATGAAAGAAAACTGTGAAATATATTTGGATGTCATTTGTCACTGATTCTCTATTTTAACTTTATTACTGCCTATATTCACTTTTTTCCTGAATATTAGTTTTATGTTTCCAATAACTGAAAATATTTTATTCTAGAAATATGGTGTTGCTGTGGAATTTTATAGAAATGAAAACGTTAAGGTCAATGAATCTGACTCCTGACCACCTATGAAAAGTTAAGACAATGTGAAATTGACATTAACTTCAAGATTTACTGAGACCTTTAAAACTTTCACTTTCTAAATTAATTCCTTCTAGCATGACTCCTAGGACTTGCTAGACTTGCTAATTGCTGTGTGGACCCATCTGTTCTTTGCCTCAGTACACCTGGGGGAAATAAAGGAAGTCTATTTCTCTCTTTCAAGGACAAGATTGTTGTTTTATGTGTTTTCTCTAAGGATGGAAAAGGAAAATCTAAAAATTACTGTGAAATCTTCAAAAACTCTCACAATTCCATGAAGGTTATTATAGCAAACAGCAATTCCTCTTGGACTTGACATTGTTTTTTTCACAGTAATTTTTATTCAGCATCTGTTTATTTTTCCTCTAATTATTCCCTTTGTTTTATTTTATTCATCCATATTTTATCTGCTTTATATTTAATGCTTTCTTTTACTTTTTAAAATATTTTTAGTTGCTCACCTCATAACTATTTACATATTATATCAATTTTCTTCCATTTCCATCTCTTTCCTGTTAGGGATCTAGATTTATCTTTAAGCCAATAAAAGTAAGGAATGTCATACTCACAGGCCATGGTTGATATTTTAGTTATTGGTTATGTCTTGAAAAAGTAGAGGAGATAATCCTATAATGCTTTTGTTTTGATTGGCCCACACCTTCTTTTGTTAAAGGTAGCAACTTATGAAACTCATATTTGCAAAACAGATTGCAAAACATTATTCAAGAGAAAAACATGAAACTGCCACAAATACAATTGGAAATGTTTAGCCCAGAATGAAGAAGATGAAAGCAAGACAGGGCATATATTTTCACACATTAAAAAGCTATCATGTTAAATCAGTTAGGTTTATTCTATTTATTAGTCTCTTATAGAATTAACTAGAGGCCTGGTGCATGAACTCATGCACCAGTGGGGTACCTCGACCTGGCCTGCTGGGATCAGGCTGAAACCGGCTCTCCAACATTCCCTAAGGGGTCCCAGATTGCGAGAGGGTGCAGGCCAGGCTGAGGGACCCCATCGGTGCAGGATCGGGGCCAGAGAGGGACACGGGAGGTTGGCTAGCCAGGGAGGGACTGCGGGAGGGCTCCAGGCTGTGTCTGGCCCTTCTCACTCAGTCCTGATCAGCTGGACCCCAGCAGCAAGCTAATCTAACCGCTCGGAGCGTCTGCCCCTGGTGGTCAGTGCACCATCATAAGTGAGGCGGTTGAGTGGTCCCTTAGCATATCATTAGCATATTACGCTTAGATTGGATGACTGGACTAACTGACGAGTGGACACTTAGCATAGTAGGCTTTTATTATATAGGATAACTATTTAAGTTATTAAAATGGTAACTTCAGATTTCAAAAAGTAAGAAATGTTTAACAAATTAAACCATTCAAATTTAATTAATTTTAAAATATTAATGGCCTATGTGGTGGTCACCTAGCCATCTTGAGGACAGTAAGATACAATGACAATTAAGGTTTGCTCTCTCTTTTCATTCAACAAACTCAGAGAGAAACATTTTATCTTGTTTAAAGAATGAGTTGTTAGAAGAAATACTAAGTTCCATGTCATTTGAAGTTTTTTGGGGAAATCTGATGAGTTAAAAGATATCTGAGACAGATGGATGTATAAGACAGAGTACTAACTAATCCAAAGTAAAGAACATAGAAAAGTATATTTGTTTTTGTTAGCTCTATATGGTCAGTGAATATTAAACATGATTTTTCTGTTATAGTGATCCCTAACTTCTAGGGTAAGACTATTTTGACTTTATCACCTTGAGTCCTTTTGCCTAGAAATTTTTTTGAGCTGCCCTGGTTTCTACTTCCTTTTTTATGTCCCAGAATTAACTTTTATCCTAGAATGCAGGAGTTATTACCAATTGTTCCTCATTTCGCTCTCTACTTTCTCCTAGAGATTAAAATGCCTCTAATTATCTATATGATTAGGCAAATGCAGGAGTTATTACCAATTGTTCCTCATTTCGCTCTCTACTTTCTCCTAGAGATTAAAATGCCTCTAATTATCTATATGATTAGGCAACTTTTTCCAGGTAAGTCCTCAGTTTTATTTACCAATTTGTTTAAAATTCCACAGCTATCTGATGGATTTGACTCTTCACTTTAATATATTTTTATTGATTTCAGAGAGGGAGGAAAAGGGAAAGAGAGATAGAAACATCATTGATGAGAGAAAATCATTGATTAGCTGCCTCCTGTACATCCCCTACTGGGGGTTGTTGAGTCCACAACCCAGGCATATGCTCTATCCTAAGTGTGTGTGTGTTGGGGGGTGGGGGCAGGAATTGAACTGTTGTGACCTCCAAGGTTCATAGGTCAGCGCTCATCCACTGAGCCACAACAGCCAGGCTTGACTCTCCACTTTAAAGTCCATTTCAAGCCTAGAAATGAAGGGAGAATTCTCATACCTTTCCTACATTTTTAAAGGGAATCAGACATAGCCTATGCCTTTTAAGATCTCTTTACCTATCACAGCAGGCAAACACTTGGTGGTCAGGGAGATACACAGCGAGATGAAAGAACCTTTCTGTACATACATGTTTTTATTTTTATATTTTTTACAACTGAACACTGATATCCTGCAATGATAAAGAACTAAAAAAACCATAGAAGAAATGCTACAATAATATCCTAGAAGGCCTTACTTCTTCATGACCCTGACCCTTAGGCAATGCCACTTTATAAAAACTGAGCAGTTCAGAAAGAACAAAGACGAACAACACTGATCTCTCTCTAGGTGACTTTATCCAACCCATATCACTGAGTACCCTCCACTTTTTGTGGAGGGAGACATGGGGTGGTGTCAAGGAATGAAATTCATCTACTTTACAATCGACAAAGACTCTGATATTTGAAATAAAAAGAGAACAGTCAGGATTTCATTTGCTAGAAAAATAAAATAAAATTCTAAGACAGAAATCTATAATTATAAAGGTGAGCTAATTTACTCAATGTAAAATACAAGAGAATAACTTCCTAGCTCTTCCAGAATTCATCATGTTTCTAGATGATGTTGAGTGGAAATGCATAGCTAGAGTTATATTTTGAGGAATTAGAAAAACAGGGGCTTAGACAGAATTCCAAGATATCCATAAGATCCCTGTCCCAATGACCTGTACTTTTGTATAATCCCGTATCCTTGAGTGTGCAAGAGACCTGTGAATTGAATGGGATATCACCCCATATATTTGCTGTTTTATGGAAAAAATAATTATGCAAATATAATTAAGATTCTTACTAGATGTTGAGTTAATAAAAAGGGAGACTTTACTTGAAAGCTCTGATCTAATCATGTGAAGTTATAAAAGAAAGGTACACTACAGGTGGTTTTCTAGGGCTGTGAGTAAACTTGTGAGTGTAGGAGTCCTCCTGGCAGCTGCTTAAGGGGTACCTATAGGAAATGAGACTGAACCTTGGCCAGTAGCTAGCAAAAACATACGGACTTCAGTCTTAAAGCCACAAAGAGAAGAATCTACTATCAACCAGTGGGATGAAGGCTCAGAGAATAGCATGACAGTGGTGGAAAGGAGTAATGAGGAGGGTTGTAACTTAACCCATGAAGGAAATATTAACCCTAGTCAGGAGAAGTCAGTGGCTGGGTCATGTTTTACTTTGCAAGGGGAGGTCAATGGCAATGGAAGCACCATAAAAAACCCCTTGATTTCTGGTTTAAGGAACTGGAGAGGAGGTGGGGCCTTATCCAGGTAGAAGAAAACATAAGCATGTGTGCTTGTGTTGGGAGAAGAGAGGGAATTCAGCTTTAGACATTTTGAGTTTGAAAAGACAATGCAACACACAGAAATGTCTACAAGGCAGCAGCTAATCTGCCTCCGTTATGTCAATTTGGGGCTAATTTAGAGTTGATGAGACTGAATGAGGAAGTTAGGCAGATGCTAAAAAAAAGGATGAAGACAAAGCTTTTCAAAAACAACAACATATTGTTTGCAGAAACAAATAATAAACACCACTTAATTTTCTTTGAAATTCTGCATGACAGACTAGCTAAAAAGAAGAGTATTTTAAATTTAAATTCAGGTATATATCTGCCTATATATAAAAAATTAACCACATGATGGTGCTCTGCTACCAAATCATGTGAACTCACTTTCATGCCATGTAAGACCACAGAAAGAAATGAGTTTTAGTGACTAACAGGGCATAAGGAAAATATAAATGTCCATTGGGATCAGTTGAGAGCATAACCTACTTATTAGAGTCCTGGCGAAGAGTAAAGTGTTTTATCTCTTATGTTTTTGTTTGCTTGTTTTTTAAATATATTTTTATTGATTTCAGAGAGGACGGGAGTTAGAAAGATAGAAACATCAATGGTGAGATAGAATCATTGACCAGCTGCCTCCTCCATGACCTACAATGGGAATAGAGCCCACAATCCTGGTATGTGACCTGACCGGGAATTGAACCATGACCTCTTGGTTCATGAGTGAACCCTCAACCACTGAGTGACACTGGCTGGGCTTATCTAATGTTTTTAAGAAAAATGAAAACAATTCTTTGTTGGATTCAGTGGGATCACAGCTATGTTTGCTATGTTTATTTAAAATGAAGTAACAATGCCAAGTAACATCAAGATAATAAGGGTTGTTTTTTTATTTCCTAAAAGTTTTATTATTTTAAAATAAATAGGCTATTATTTTAGCATTCTTTATCTTAAACATGATATCGTTACTTATTAGTTCCCAATAAATACCTTCTGTAGAAGTGATATGGAACTATTTGAGAAATCACACAAGATATTGATTTGTCCTCTTACTTAATTTAAGTATTCATCCTACTACTTAATTGCCTAAATTTCTTAATCAGTAACAAGAGAACCACACTGCTTGTCTCTGCTTCAGTTTCACCTTAATGAAGAAGCCTTTTCTGGCCATTATGAGATTGCCAACGCCCTCCACTGTGCTGGTTATCCCTTCACCCTGCTTTACGTTGTTCAAACCTGAATTTAGCGCCGTTGACAGTGCTTTTTAACTTGTTTATTGTTCTCACTTCTTTCACTCCAGTAGCAGAGCTTGCCCACATCAGGATTCCTCCACTATGATATCAACGACGCTCACCAACAGTGTGTGAGTTAGATATTTATCTTCTCAGAAAAGTCGTAAAAGGGGCAAGACCAAGCCTGGTGGTGATAAAGTTTACTTGTACATCCTATTTTTACATTAATTTTTAATCTACAATTGTAACAATAAAAATTGAAAATCAATTAAACTCTGGTAGACTTTTTAATGATTTAATCAAACTAATAGGCCTGATTGTTTCAACAGAAATATATACCTGTTGAATCACAGATAAAAAGTACAAGTGGGAGTGAATGTTTTAGAAACAACTGTTTTTTTAAAAAAAATTGAAATATTGCTAACTGAAGGAAAATTGTTGTCATTCTCAAGTTTTAGTCTTTCTGTTCTTTAATTATGATCGAGTAGTCAGCTGTCTAAAAACTTGTCTATGTACCTTTTTTAATTTGATGATTCCTTCTTGTGTATCCTCATCTGTGACGATGTCAAACAAATTTCCCCCATCTCCTGGGACAATATTGTATTCAATTTCTGCATTTTGTCCAAAGTCAGGATCCACAGCTCTTATTCTTCCAATAGCTGAGCCAATAGGAGAAGATTCAGGAACTTTCAGATGGAAGATGCCTGATGGGACATACAAATTGTGTTGACAGTAGAGTTAGTAAAGTATGTAATAAGATTCCTAGGCTGGAAAAATATACACAATAGGATTTATTTATAGGAAGTAAATCAAATTTAAAGCATATTTGTAAAAAATGAAAGGCAATAAGCTGTCAAGTTAAGGATTATAATTAGGAGTAATTGATCCTTTCCTAGAATTTTAATTGGGTATTATAAATAGTACTGTGTGTTAAATTAAAGTTAGTGTGAGGAAATATTTTACATATTAACAGCATCCGAGGTACCTAATATTAATGTGAAGGTGGTAATATCCATGAAATTAAATTGTAATTAATACAAAAGAATGCAGGGTATATTATATAGATGATAGAAGATATACATATATTTAAATATTTATAGAAAATAAAGGTTATGTCTTCTAGCATAAATAAATATGCAATGTATATAAAATAATATAAATATATAATTAACTAGACTACTTACTCAGTTAGGATAAATCATTAAACTAAAAATGGCATGTAAAACGATTATATATCTAGGTAACTGCATTCCACATTTTAATCTATGATGGAATTAAGTAGAGTATATTATAGACTAATATTCAACTTATGTTTACTAATCTGTACTGGATATCTGCTAGTCACTTTTACAAACTTTTAAAATTAGGATATAAAGTTCTAGCTCCCATATTTTTAGCATAAAAAATAAAGTAAAATAAAATGCTTATATTTTTACCACCAGGTGGAGCACTGACATTACAATTAACTTCATACATACTGAGTCAGAAAACCTAGAAAAATCCCTACCTATATAAAATATACTAGAATCATAAAAAATTATAATGTCCCACAAAAATGAAAACATGTACATTATTTAAAAGACTTTTCATAATTTTGTAAGATATAACATGAAGAAAAATATAGTATAAGCTATTTCCCTGACATCTTATCAAAGTAGATATTAATGAATTAAATAGCAGTCTGTTCAAATCAAAATAAGGAAAAAAGAAGCAATCAACAGTTTATGGAGAGTCTGCCAAATAGTTTCTTTTTTTCTTCCCAATTATTTTTATTGGCCTTACAGTTATTTCACAATCAGTTTCAATATTTGGTCCTTTCATTAGACCTGGTAGCCCTTACAATTTGGCATCTTCCCTTCCCCTCAAAAAAAGATACCCACCAGTTGCTCTTATAATGTTAAAATTAGCCTTATTTTTCCAATGGACATAACCTCAGTGGGACATGCAATATATTTAGTCTCAAGAGAGCTAAATATTTACCTAAAATGTCTTTAGTTCCATGTAAAGGACAGAAAGTACATTTTACCATTTTACAGAAGTATAAAATACTTGTTTAACTAATTAATTTAATAATTATTTAATAGTATGCCAGCCTCCAGAGAATGAATATATGAAGAACAAATTTAAGAAATAAACAAACAAATAAGTATAAAAATACTCCACGTGGCAATAATAAAGTGTTATTATAAACATTATAAAATAATTTTGGTGTAAGAAGTTATATTAATCAAACTAGCCACTTCTCATAGGCTAGACTTATATTTTATTAGGTTTTATTCCCTAAACACTTAATACCGTGGCTGTCCTATAGAGATGCTCAGTGTCTGAGGATTTAAGTACGGTCTGAACTTGAGGCAAGCAGAGCAAAGAGAAAGAATAAATCATATTTTACGTTGTCTACAAGAAGACTGAAGATAGATATTCAAAAGGAATTTTTCTGAGTTTAAATAACCATGATTACATAAGAAATACCTCATGTGACTTTTGCAACCAACTTTCTATCGAGTGTAGGTATTTCCAATAGCCATATCAAACCCTGATCCTATAGAAGCACTCCTGAGATATTAGCAAAAGTGAGGATGCATGAATTCCTGTTTAATGTTCCAAAAATTGTTTGACACCATTATTTTAACTTGTACTAAACTTTTCAGGGGCAAATTCCAAATATAAAAGACTAGGCATAAATATCTGGGCTATTTTTGTTATCCCCTTTTCTTCCTTTTTTTAAAATTGATTTCAGAGAGGAGTGGAGTGATAGAGAGAGATAGAAACATCAATAATGAGAGAGTCATTGATTGGCTGCCTCCTGCACATCCCACACTGGGGATGGAGCCCACAAAACGGGCAAGTGCCCTGACCTAGAATTGAACCGTGACCTCCGCTTTCGTAGGTCTATGCTCAACCACTGAGCCATGCTGGCTAGGCCTTCTTTTCTTAATGTCTATTAAATAGAAATATGGTTTATCAAAAGGGTCTCCACATCCTTTGCCTCTCAGTTTGTGATGGTGATAAAGAACCTGAAGAAACACTAAAATCCTTGAATCTATAGTATGGATGGTCATGGTCTAATCTTAAGGTACATTAATACTTGTTAGGGAAAGACTTATATTTTGCTAATAAAATGGAGCAACTGAGTTCTATGTTGAATAAGATTGTAAATCCTCCTCCAACAGGATATATAATTAGGAGGCTTATGATGGAATAATTATCAAAGACATAGCTGGCAGGTAGATAGCTGAGAGAGATAGAGAGCTGTCAAGTCCAATGGTTTCCAGATTTCAAACACAGCAACCAGCAGAACTGGGTAGTGATGGTGATGCCCCCACCTGGAGAGGGGAGGGGTGTGGTTGTGGTGTTGAATGGAATCTTTAGAAAAATATGGGCATCTAACTTTAAAAAATCATGGATATTTACTCTATCTGATCAAGGGGAAAAATTTCAAGCTACATGTTAGGTTTATGAGTTAGCTTTCCATGTGGACATTTAAAAGCAAAAATAAAAGAATCAAAAGTCAGGGGAGATAATCTTGTCTAGTGTCATCACTTAGGAATTATGGTTAGCGAAGGTGAAGAGTTCAGCCAGAATCGAGAGCCTCCAATCTCAGAAGAATTTTAAAAACTCTGAAAGGTAACCAGAAGAACATTAGATAATACACATTATGGACGAAAGAGTGTCCCACCTTTCCAAGACAATATGCTGAGATATGAACTTGATGTTTTGCAAAAGCACATTTTATAAGGCCAATAACAATAAGTGTGAAGACAACTATTTCTTTTGGTACTCTATCACTATAAACTCAGCAGCAGGCTTTTGTTGTTGTTGTTTTTTAAGTTGCGAGCATACAATATGCCTGAAAATTTCATAATGGCATTGGAAAACTTATGCTAAATTAAAGTGGTAGCATTGTCCAAATAAATTTTGATTCCATAGTATTCCAATAACATGCCCTACCAAAATTAAGATATAAGAGAAGTAAAACAGTGATTCAACACCTACATCTTTTACATGCATTGAGGTTTTAGTGTACATAAGACACACATATACAGAGCACTGTACTTTCTGTTCTTTACATAACAGAAATACATTTCAGGAAGGTGGAAGACACATTTTATTAAGATAAGAATTTCTCAATAAAATATTGTAGTTGATAAAACGTCTACAGAATATGGAACAAGGCAGAGAAACTGTGCATTAGTCATGTCAGATTGTTTAGGTTCTGTCATTTTATTTCCGATGACTTGACATTTTATCATTTCTAGAAACTCAACAGCAATAAAGCCGGGGTCATTCAGATTAATTCAAAACCGAAGTAATCTTCCCCTGTGCCAAAGTCGGACCACTTATGATGTACTATGTAATTACACTGCCAACATCTTCTGGGCGCCCTACTTTTGACGCATATGAAATATCTTAATGGCGCTACCTGTACAACACACATTAAGAAATAAAACAGGTGACAAGAAATTGTTCACAGACTCAATCAAAATGTGTACTTACATATTCATCAAATATACATGCTATGCTTAACAAAATAACCCTGTTCTTGTGGAGAAGGAGAAAATTGCATGTAGTAAACTAAGTTGAAATTTAATAAAGAAATTATGTACCTTCTTACAAATTCTATTCCATGTTTATTCCAAAGTAAAGGTATCTGTTACTCAGTTATAGGCTAAGTAAGTATCCTCTCAGTATTCGTGCTGTTTTAAAAAATTACACTTTGATTTTTATGGCTCACTGTGTGTGTGTGTGTGTGTGTGTGTGTGTGTGTATGTATGTCAAGGGCATGCATTGATACCTAAGGACAATACATATACATTATAGTCCCTCTTTTTTCCCTTGAAGAAATTTAAAAGTTTTGATAAAAGTACCAAAATAGATATATTTACTTAACAAAATATAAATTAATGTTATAATTTACTAAGAAATAAAGATTATAGAATCTAAAAAATAATTTAAGTGAATTAGTTATATAGTACTGTAAAAACTTTCAGTGATAAGAATAGCATATAAAGAGATGAAATAATCTATTACAAATTATCTTTTGACATACATTTTATTTTATGCTTATATAGTAACAACTATTCTAAAATTACTCAAAAGCAATATATGAAAAGTTAATGTTCAACTCCACTTAAAAATTATCTGTAAGACACGTAACTAATTTGGAGGTAAATAGTATTTTAAAATACTAGAGTCCTGCCTGGCCTACGTGAATCAGTGGTTGAGCTTCTACCTATAAAGCAGGAGGTCACAGTTCAATTCCCAGTCAGTGCACATGCCTGGGTTGCAGGCTTGATCCTCAGTGTGCGGTGTGCAGGAGGCAGCCAGTCAATGATTCTCTCTCTATCGCTCCCTCTCCTTTCCTCTCTGAAATCAATAAAAATGTATTTAAAAATATTAGAGTTCTAGAAGTATTGTAATGCTTAATTAGAAATTATTTCAAATTATTAAGAATGTTGAACATTGTTAAGAACTTGAAAATATATATTGAGACCACCTAAATAATTATTTGAAATACAACATTTTTATTAAACTTTAGAAAATAAATGCATATGACCACAAACTGTTGATTCAGTGATTGAATTCAGGCATTAGCTGTTTCTGATAGTGATCCTCCATGTTTGCAAGTGTGTGTCTGAGATTTACCATCTAATTACATAGAAAAATGCTGCTTTATTGATATTTTTGGTTTAATTACTAAAGC